TACAATACTGTATTGCACAGTAAAATGTGAAGTAGAAAAACAAGGTAAATTCTTAGCCTACCTATATGAACTGCAATTTAATTGAAAGTTTTTCAGGAAACGATCCTATCTGCATCACACAATGCGGGAGACGCGTACATCCCGGCAGCGTCCCAACGTACAGCCTCGTACCTCGTACGCTGCTGCGTTTGCCTGCCGCGCGAAATTTTAAATATTTAACAATTTTGTCGTATCGCCATCGTAAGATCGAAATATCGTAACTTGGGGACTACCTGTACTACCCGGTAAATACCTTGTTTACCACTCGCTAAAAGCTCCGTGGCGCAATCCGTGGCCTCCATGTAAAAGTGGAATCATCGGGAGTATTCTATATGAATAAAGCGCTCTACCTAGCATTTACCTGTTATAACCCTTTATCATGTGTAGTAGTACCCCAGTAATCACCCTGTAATCGGGTAATTTGTATGGGGTAAGGGTAAAAGGTAGAGTCAAGGTAGGCTCGTTGCTTTTGACCTTTTACCTTACCTTGCTAAAGGGTAAAAGGTAAGGGTAGAGTGATTGTAAGGTAGGGTAAAGGTAAGCTCGTTGTTTTTGCCTTACCTTTCTAAAGGGTAACAGGGTAGAGTGATCGTATTGTGGTAAAGTAAAAGGTAGGGTCAAGGTAGGCTCGTTGCTTTTGACCTTTAACCTTACCTTGCTAAAGGGTAAAAGGCAAGGGTAGAGTGATTGTATTGTGGTAAGGCAGGGTAAAGGTAAGCTCGTTGTTTTTGCCTTACCTTTCTAAAGGGTAACAGGGTAGAGTGATCGTTTTGTGGTAAGGTAAAAGGTAGGGTCAAGGTAGGCTCGTTGCTTTTGACCTTTTAACCTTACCCTGCCGAGGCCTACTTCCACCACCTGCCCTGCGGATTGCTTCGACTCACGGGGCAGGCAGTGAGATTTACGTTCTGCCATTGGGTGACCAGCTTGACAGCATCGACTCGCTACACCTAACAAAAAATACATTTATCACAGGCGACTGCCTGGGTATGAACTCGACCAATGGCCCACTTAACGTACCGATCTCACGTCTCCATCCAGGGAAATCACTGAATGTAAATGGGGAGGGATGTAGTTGATTCCCACTGTTGCATTGCCACCTCCTGGCCAACCGTCAGCTACCGTGCTCGCGTTGAACCTCTGAGACGCACCAACTCGCGGTGGCTATAAAATGTTAACCGCCTCGCCTGGTATACAGTGTAGTTGCATGTATCTCTCTCTCTCATCGTGGTCCCGTGGATTGTCCCTGTGCTCTGGGTTTTCACTCCACATTTAATGAACACGCTATGGAGTTGCACGTGATAAGCCACTTCGTTGAGCTATCATTTGTGGCGTCTGAAAAAGAGCTAAAAAGCTGAGCGGGCCTGACCTCGCAAAATAACGAATTCTTTACTTCATCGGTTTAACTCTCTGTTCTTATAGTGAGAGCCTTGACAGTCTGAAAGGGGCATGTTGTTGGGGAAGCGGGATCAGGTGTAGTTAGTGGTAGTAGCCTGTTATCAGTACCCGTTTAAATAGTATCGTACCTTGCCGCAACATTGGATCATTACGCGGAAGGGAATGCTGTGTGGGATTAAACACGCAATGCTTTAGATGACAATTGCATCTGTGCGATGTCGCTCCCATGAACAACTGGTTCTTGTAAACCATGTTGTGTCCTATGTACTCTAGTAGGTCTCATCTGTTTGTTGGTATGGTGGCTTCCCCGAATGCCTGAACCCCCCCCCCCCCACCTAAAAAAATAATAATCTATTGCCAAACATGATTTTCTCAAGTAGATCAGTAAAACTGCAGCAGGCATTCTCTCTGGTATTTTTATTAATCTTCCTTCGGCTGCCACTCCCGGCGTTATTCTGGACCACTGGCGACCGCACCTTGTAACGACGCGTCCTGCCCAAGGCGGTTCATTTGAGAGGCCTTCGACCAGCAGTGGAACGATCATGACTGATGATTCTGTTGAGTATCCAATTACTGTGGCTAAGATGGATAATTGTTTTTAATGACACGAGATTGTTTTCAATAATCCATCTTAAGAGTGTTCCAAATGGCCGCAGAAGCGCGCCCGAAAGCGCGCGATGCAGTGATGACCGTCTTCGTTCGATGGTTCGCCAAAGCCGCTGCGACGATGACCGGAGGAGCGGTGATACAGTGGTTTACCTGGGAGCTCAATGATATCCCTAAGGTTTCCTAGCCAGGAATCTGAAGATCTCGAGCAGTGGAATAGTGGGGAAGGCCAGGTTGCACGGAGCCAGCCCATTGTGGCATGATCAGCCAAGCAGCATTTTCCATTGAAACCTATGGCTTGTGTACACGAATGATTTTCAATAACACAAATTGTCTCAGTATTCAGCATATGTCAATTCAAACTCCCATCACGTCCCTCCCACCCCCGTCTCCCCATGCAGTTTCAAAGGAACATAACAAAACATTAACGCACGTCGGCGACTTTGCCGCGTGTATGCGTGTGTGTGCCTGCCCGCACAGAAAAAGGAATTCACGTGCTCCAGGACTGCAAACTCAAGGCCAATGGACAAGCGATGCGGATCGAACCAAACCCTGAATGTTCACAGCAATGGGGACCTTCCGGGCCACTAACAACGGTTATTGTGGCAGTGCACGCACTTTTAAAAAAAGACAATACCACAAGCCTCAGCTCTAACCGTGCCACACACGCAGATCTAGGCGCGAGTCCGTGTCCCCCTGGAGTTTATGCATTTGAATTTTATGCCCCCCAGCAGATATTGCCGTCGAGGAAACCACGGGACTACCTGGGGCGGGCTGAAGCATCGAAAGTGACTGGTCTACCAAAGCAGCACTCGCATAAAGTAACAAGCACAAAGTTTGCAGTCGCATCATGAGAATGCCACATGCTTGCTGAAGTCTGATGACATCGGGGGGGCACCCCTTGTACGTGCAGCAGCTGGACACCGTCACGAATGTGCACTTCGCTTCTGATGATTTTAACCAGGGTGAAGCAAACATTTTGCAGTTTCATCATCATCATCATCGTCGTCGTCATCACGATCCATAGGCAGGTAGCCCGTAGGTGTCCACTGAACATTTCGTCATTTGTTTTCCCTTTCCTCCCTGCCTTGTAGTGGCCACATGTGTCTGGCACCAATCTCTCTCTGTGATGTCGTCAAGCCATTCTCTGTGAGGTCTTTCTTTCTTTTTCCGGTTCATTCAATTTTTTTCCGAACAACACACTTTCAATTTCCCTGTTGTTGTTCATCCTACTTATGCGTGCAAACAGTGCCAGTTTCCTTCTCAACGCGAGTATAAAGCCTGCATATTCACCATCTCCACTGTCCAGTCAATATATCGTTTCACATTGTTTCTTTGTTGCATATAAAATGGTTTACACATACAGAGACAATGAATATGCACATTTAAAAGTGCTAGGGTACAAGCATAATCGCTTGACCATACTTCACCACACTGGTCAGCGAAGGTTGCTTGAAGTGAAGCCCTGAATCATTTTAGATATCACACTGACCACCGATGTTAGCCAAGGCTGGTGATCGAACTCAGGGGCACCGGGTACAGAGTGCAATGAGTGAATTACGGTCCCACCATTCCCCTATGTCATAAATTATAAGGACTTGTTTCAGCAGCCTGTTTCTCTATCCCACCTAAGAACGATCGCTTGTGTGGCGATCAAAACGCTGTGATCTATTATTATTTTTCTACGTGACTTTACCGAAAGAACCAAAGAGTACACATAGTTAAGTTTAACACGTCGGCTTTTGCGACCAGTATCATCCACCTCTTGCCTTTTTACTTGCCTCTCCGTTACTACCGGTGTCGCCCCTTGTCCCTGGGGCTTGCGCCTAGGTTATGTTGCAGCGCCAATCGCAATGATGCAGGGGGCAACCACCCCGGGGGGACCCCATCTCCACTGCTACCGGGACACATGAAAGCAGTTCACCAGAGTTGAGCGGAACGACGTCGCAGCGGCGGAAGTTTGGCGGTCACTGGGGAAGGACAGTGGAGATTGGTTGGGGTGCTTACACGGTGGATAGGGTCAGCTGCTTCGTTTTGTCGTGGTGCCGGACTTTGGGCGATGGGAAAAAAAGCTTCATAGCTCATCGAATTCCCCCAGTATAAATATTCTGATTGTGGCTGGCTGCGCCCCTGGTTGTTCGTACGCCGGTCGTCGTTAATCCCTGCGCCATCGGCGATGTCATTCAAGTGTTTTTTCCCTTCCGAAGAAATGTATTTCGTATTTCCCCCCCTTTTTTTTGTCCTTGTAATATTGTGGTATTGCTATTGTTGTACTCGAGTGGTTTGTGTTATTATGACAATTGTCGTGAGATGTCGTGGCATTTATCTCCAATTCCTTTAACCCAAAAAACACACACACGCTTCAAAGACAAATGAGAAACTGATCACAACACAGTTTATGAATCGCCTACAAATGGAGTGTAGACATTACATAGTGGTTGAATAGTCAATAAAATTGTTAACGGTTCAGAGCTGATGTCTTCAACCACTACAGCGGTGTGCAGTATAAACACTGATAGGTGCATTGATACATCAGTGCGCTACAATAATATTAAATTGCAATTAAAAACGTGTGGCCAGTTATCAAGCATTATTCAGATAAAAAAATGGTAAAGGTGAAGCCCTGAAATTACTTGGTTATGCCACTGCTGGCAGAAGGGCATCGACTGGACGGAGCCCCTTCGAAGTGATATTTTCCTTTTGATTTAAAGCTTTCGTGAATGCAGTAATTCATATTCTTAGTTTTTTCGGTAAAGTCACGTTGAAGGGAAACAACAAAATAATAAAATATATATAAAACAATAAAAAATTCTCACGACGTTTCGACCATAACTCAAACGGTCGTCTTCAGGTGTGTTGGTTTGCATAAATTTATTTTTTATTGTTTTATATATATTTTATTATTTTGTTGTTTCCCTTCAACGTGACTTTACCAAAAAAAACTAAGAATATGATATTTTCCTCTTCCACGCTGGTCAAACATTTTGGAAGAAGTGGGAAGCACCCACCCTTTGCCCTGCCACACGTTACCTGCCAATCAGCTAACTGTGATCTAGATTTGAAGTTTTTGTGACTGCAGGGATCCATACTCTTTGGTTCTTTCGGTAAAGTCACGCAGGTAGAAAATAAAATAAATTACAACCACAGCAATTGTTTCTTGCTGTGGTTGTCCCACCTGATGACGGACGCTTGTGTTGCGCCCGAAACGTCGTGATTTAATTCATTTTATTTTATACCTACGTGACTTTACCGAAAGAACCAAAGAGTACAGCTAACTGTGGTATACCAATTTATACCGCTGGGTGGACAGAAGCCGGGGAGGGAGGGAATTTAGGAAAAGTGTTTTAAAAAAATACTTTCAATTGCCACGTTGAAAGATCGAATCAAGGTGGCAGATCTCTATATTGCAAATCCAGTGTGATAATTATTACAACAACAGAAACATCTCATTATTTACGGCCGCACACACTGCCACCCCACATCTGAAAGCATACACGAAACCTCGCATCTCCGATTAGCACGGTTAGCTAAGTGCGGTGAGAAAGAAGTTCAGCATACACACACAATGTGATATATCAACCAAAAATCCACCGAGTCTATTTCAGAGGAGTGCCCCGTTTTAACGTTTGGCCAATTCATTATTTAATTGTGTTTTGAAGCAAACCATAGTCATCGAAAAAGTGTACATATAGGAGCAAATTACAATCATTAATTTATTCAGAGGTTCATAACCTTCCGGTTCTACTGCCATCTACAGGCCACCTCATTCAAGCCAGTGGGTGTCCTAAGCACTCTATGATCTCTGAGACCTACAAACCCTGAGACCAAACCTGGATTAAAAGGTGAACTCCAACCACAATTGGCACGAAGCTCACGCAACACATGAGTTAAACCCAACAAATAATTTACAACTTAACGGTGGCCTCGAAAAGTGGCGAGTGCGTTATGGCACTCTGTCAAGCGCAGCATTGAACAACGCCATTTAGCAGAGCCATTGCCGGCGGTGGCAAAAGCTTGCACGTGGAATGTGCAAATCAGACCCACTAAAGGGTTTTTGCCTTTCTCCGCTGAGTGGCCCACAGAAAAGCTGAGAGCAGAAAGGTCACCGCTGTAAGCAGGCCGAAGAACAGCGCCATCGGGAAGAACCCCTGCGGAAGACACAGAAAAGGCCAATGTTAAAGAGTAAGGCAAGCTATTATAAAGTTACAAAAGCAGACACTTTGGCGAAACACAACTGTAAAAGTAAACAAAACAAAAAAACACTTCAGTTTATAGTGTTTTCATCCCATTCATTTTGATGATGAATTGCTTCCCTCGCTTGCCTTTTTTTTTACAAAGTTATACTTCTGTTATTCGAGGAAGAATATTGTCAAGGGGCAAAATATATCATAATCCCAATAAGAACAATGTTTAGTGTGAGACAGTCATTCATGCAAATTTCATAGCACAATCGCCAACGGAAAATGCGCCAGGCGAGTTGTTCCTTGAGGCCAGAGTAGCCACGCCACGCCCGGAAAACCGCCCCGGAACATCAAATCACAGGGCTCCCTCGGCAGTCTAACGTCACGTGACAGCTCCTTGGTGCCATCTGAAGGGGACGGTTTTCCTGCACGTCAGAAATTTGATACTTTTCATAAAGTTGATTCTTCAATGTCAGAAAAGATTAAAATCGGTTTTTAAAAATAAAAAAACCTAACATTTGTTTTGTACTGTCAAAGGTGATTTGGTTGAAACCATCACTCTTTAACTTAGGAACATGGCTCGATCATGGATAGCTGTGACAGGAATTCAAACTCAAAACATCAAGGCTCGCTCAGTGGCACACCGCAGGTTATACGCCTCCTCCGAAACAGGGGCCCGCCTCGTACACAAACCAAATCATGCCTCATTTGATGAAGCAGAATTACCTCTCTCATGCACTTGTATCCGTGATGGGTGTCCTTGCAGTCGCACTTAAAGAGGCCTGGACCATCTGGGTGACAAACAGCCTCCTTTGGGCAGTGGTTACTCGATTCTGCAAGTGATTGAAAAAACAAAGACACACAGTATAATCATTAAGGCTTTAAGCTCATCTTGCGCTATCACAATAATTCCCAACTAGTAGCGATAAAGGAAACAACCTTTGAAAAACACCATGGAGAAGCGGACAATATATTTCCTTCATATACAGTGAGGGAAAAAAGTATTTGATCCCCTGCTGATTATGTACGTTTGCCCACTGACAAAGAAATGATCAGTCTATAATTTTAATGGTAGGTTTATTTGAACCGTGAGAGACAGAATAACAAAAAAATCCAGAAAAACACATGTCAAAAATGTTATAAATTGATTTGCATTTTAATGAGGGGAATAAGTATTTGACCCCCTCTCAATCAGAAAGATTTCTGGCTACCAGGTGTCTTTTATACAGGTAATGAGCTGAGATTAGGAGCACACTCTTAAAGGGAGTGCTCCTAATCTCAGCTTGTTACCTGTATAAAAGGCACCTGTCCACAGAAGCAATCAATCAATTAGATTCCAAACTCTCCACCAGGGCCAAAACTAAAGAGCTCTCCAAGGATGCCAGGGACAAGATTGTAGACCTACACAAGGCTGGACGGGGCTATAAGAGCATTGTCAAGCAGCTTGGTGAGAAGGTGACAACAGTTGGTGCGATTATTCGCAAATGGAAGAAACACAAAAGAACTGTCAATCTCCCTCGGCCTGGGGCTCCATGCATTATCTCACCTCGTGGAGTTGCAATGATCATGAGAACGGTGAGGAATCAGCCCAGAACTACACGGGAGGATCTTGTCAATGATCTCAAGGCAGCTGGGACCATAGTCACCAAGAAAACAATTGGTAACACACTACGCCTTGAAGGACTGAAATGCTGCAGCGCCCGCAAGGTCCCCCTGCTCAAGAAAGCACATATACATGCCCGTCTGAAGTTTGCCAATGAACATCTGAATGATTCAGAGGACAACTGGGTGAAAGTGCTGTGGTCAGAGGAGACCAAAATGGAGCTCTTTGGTATCAACTCAATTCGCCGTGTTTGGAGGAGAAATACTGCCTATAACCCTAAGAACACCATCCCCACCGTCAAACATGGAGGTGGAAACATTATGCTTTGGGGGTGTTTTTCTGCTAAGGGGACAGGACAACTTCACCGCATCAAAGGGACGATGGGGACAGGGCCATGTGCCGTCAAATCCTGGGTGAGAACCTCCTTCCCTCAGCCAGGGCATTGAAAATGGGTCGTGGATGGGTATTCCAGCATGACAATGATCCAAAACACACGGCCAAGGCAACAAAGGAGTGGCTCAAGAAGAAGCACATTAAGGTCCTGGAGTCAAATACTTATTTTCCTCATTAATGTCCGTGATGCAGTCATTTTTAGTCTGATGGTCAGCGATGCGGCTATCGACTCATCTCGACGAGCTGTACACGGTGCGCATGGTGCATACGAGCGATCAGGGTTTCAGCGCAATCGTCATCGCGGAGTGGCACTGATTTCGGATTGATTGGTGCCCCAGTCGCGGAGTTAAGTAACATGCCTGGAAAAAATAGTGTCCCAGAAATAAAATATTTAATTGCCTCCGCCATTTTGTATTATTTGGTACTCCGAGGTACCGCCATAAGGCTCAATTGATAAGTGCGCACCATTGGGGAAGCTGGTTGAATCTCAATGGGAACGCCACTGCATTGTGTTAGCTGACGGTCAGGTGAGTTGATGACGAGGGTCAGGTGTTAATGTGTCACACCGCCCTGCCCAGACGACAGGCTGACCCCGGCTCTTGGTATAAATAATTATTTCAACTTGTAATGGGCTGCCGCACAGCATTTGCCGCACAGCAAGAGAGCGGCTCGGAAGAGCGATGAACCAGACAAGCAGGGGGACAGCCACGTGGTGAGACAACCCCCAAATTACCCCCAAAGCTCTGCGGCTCTCTATAAAGGCATTTTGAGCCACTTAACGACATCCAATTGTTAATGTAGTTGAATCGACAACAAACGTAGAACGTTAACGAAACACGAACACACGTAGTTGTGTGCATCATATATATATTTTTAAACCCATGCGTGCATTGCAATTGCTTTTTAGAATCAGTGTTGGTGTAACACAGAGATCTTCACGTGTCACAAGAGATTATCAAACCCACCGGGGCTACAAGGGAGCAGGAGACTGGTACAGCAAGAGGCTTTGTGAACCCATCCGTGTGGACTTGTGAGTGTTACATTCTCACGCAAGTGAGTTTTCACCTATTTTGTTTTTAAGGAATTGGTAAAACATTTGAATGCAGGTCCCTCGGGAAAAAAATAGCTTGAGAATTTTCTGTATAAAAAAAACACGATTTGTAATAAGCATACTATAAATTATATTCTTGGTTCTTTCGGTAAAGTCACGTAGAAGGGAAACAATAAAATAATAAAAATATAAAATTCTCACCCATAATCCCTCAACTGAATCTATCCCTGACCGACCCCTCACCCCTTGCCTAACAATATGCAAAATATGAACTTCGTGAACATTCAATGTGACAGTAATTCCTGTAGTGTAAAAATATTCGACCACGGCAGGATTTTTTTCACATTGAATTTTCACGAAGTTCATATTTTGCATATTGTTAGGCAAGGGGTGAGTGGTCGGTCAGGGATAGATTCAGTTGAGCGATTATGGGTGAGAATTGTATTGTTTTATATTTTTATTATTTTACTGTATGCCTTCTACGTGACTTTACCGAAAGAACCAATAATATGAATCCCTGCAGTCACGAAAGCTTTAAATAAAAATACTATAAATTGTGAATAGAGAGCTGATCACACCGAGACCTTTGCCAGGGGTACAATGTGATTAAAACAGACACCAAATGCAGCTCTCGACCGACAAGTCCCAACCCCCTTCCACGTTGCTCATACCGTTGCATGCATTCTGCTGATCTTGGCAAATCCTGTTGTGGTTGACATATATCCTCTTCCAAGCCTTGTTCCCTCCAGGGCATTTGACGAGATGAGGCAGCTCGCTGAACAAAGGCCACCACGTATCAACATCATACCCTTTCAATCTGCCTCATATTCGATATACAGTTTGCATGCAAGTGTGTGTGTGTGTCTATGTGGGTGATTGGTGTCATGGTTATGTGCAATGCACTATGGAATCTGGCAAGCCAGACTCATTTCAAAATGCCAGACACACAGGGGGCCTGAGAGAGACAGGACAGACAGAGGGAGACATAGTGTCAGATGGATACACAGAAAAACAGTGGGAGATAAGAGAAACGTGCCAGTTTGTTGAAAATAATATATTTCAAAGGACTGTCTGCCTTCAAATTCCACACTGCTGAATCTATATGTGGGTTTGGGACACATTCCTGCAGATGGAAATCGCTGCAATCCTCAAAAACGCTAAGACACCTATTAGCAACACCAGTAAGGATGAGCGCTTGGAGCTTTCTCAACTAAACAAGAGAGATGACAGTCATACTCTCAGCTAACAAGGGCAATGCCACAGTCATCATGGACAAAACCACACACAGTAACAAAATTCAGGACCTACTGAATGATGGTAGCTATACCAAAATCAAGAGATCCCACCAACCGCCTGGTTACGAAAACCAATAATATCATAACTGATTCGACATCTTTAATCGAACCAACCAAGCGGCTTTCCTTAAAACCCTCTGCTGCTAGACTACCCAGATTTTATGGCTTACCAAAAATCCATAAAGAAGGTACATCACTTCGTCTTATCGTCTCCACCATTGACTCACTCACTTACAAACTGGACTGATTACTGGTAAGACCACCTCAGCTGTACTTAATTCAGCTCACTTGGTATCGTTAATTATGGGCATCTCACTATCTCCAGGTGATTTGCTTGACAGTTGCGATGTAGTATCTTTGTTTACCAAAGTTCCTGTGCCTGACACCATTGCAATCATTAAAGAGTTGGTCCAACAAGGACTGAATGCTGATGTACCAGCCCTGGTTAGACACTGCCTCACCAACACTTACTTCACCTGAAATGGAACATTCTACAAACAAGCTGAAGGAAAATTTTGAGACAGATGCCATCCAGGCATCCACTCTACTTCCTTCCTTGTGGAAGATATACGTAGATGACACGTTCGTCATCTGGCCACATGGCCTACCAGCTCTGGGCCAATTATTTAACCACATCAATTCCATACACCCAGCCATCAAATTCACCATGGAGGTGTAAAAGGATGGCAAGTTACCATTCTTGGATGTTTTAATCGAAAATAGACCAGATGGCTTAATGGGACATTGTCTACAGGAAAGCCACCCATACAGATGCCGACCTAAAACCTGACTCCCACGACCATCCATCCCAGAAGAATTCCCTCATCAAAACTCTACACCATAGTGCTCAATGTATTTCCGACCATCACCACCTAGCCAGTGAACTGGAGCACGTACACCAAGCCCTCAAGATGAATGGATATTTAGACTACACAATCTGTAAAGCTAGCACCCCAACCGTCGGGAAAGAACCATTTGAGTACCCAATCAAAACCAATACCTTGCCATACATAGCAGGGGTCACTAAAAATATTTCCAAAATCATGAGCAAACACAAGATCCAGGTTCGGTTCACAGTATGTAAAATTCGTGATCTGATCCCATCTGTGAAGGATGTGATCCCTGACATGCAATACCCTGGCGTCTACAAACTAAGCTGTGTCTGCAGCAGCAGTTACATTGTGGAAACTAAGCGACATACCTCGGAACGTGTTGGTGAACATAAGGCAGATCTGAAAGACAGTAGGACCAATACCTCAGCTGTGGCTGATCGTTGTTTTAATGCGGTGGGCGCACGCAAAATTATTTTTTCTAAGACGAAGGTACTCTGCAAAACCCACTGGCTATCAGCAAAGATTCATTCATGAAGCCATCCAGATATATAAACAGACACAATTTCAACCGAGAAGATGGGTACAAACTTAGCAATCATTGGAAGGATGTTATTAACCAGTTCAAGTCATAACTGGCTGTAATGTTTCCATCCTACCTGCCGATGTTCGTAGTTATTTTCGACTCTCTGGTGTTACATTAACATGTTAAATGTTTTACTAACACAGCCACCGTTACTTTGTTTTCCTCGATGTGGCGGTGGCTCTACGATCTTACATTGACATGCTAATCTCTCACAATACAATGGCCACCTCCGCAGCTTCGTCGTCGTGGAGGTAGCTCTCCGATTTACCCGATCTTACATTGACATGCAAATTTCATCACTAGCCCCGCCCACTTCGCTTATGACCCTTGGGCTACACCCATCTCAAACCTTTATAACATCCTGCCTCAGCAGCTCTCCCACTATTTTTTCACCTGATGACAATTGCTTGTGTTGTGATCGAAACGTCGTGATATTTTTTTTCTTTCTATCTACGTGGCTTTACCAAAAGACCCAAAGAAAAAGATGTGGGATTGATGTGTTCCGCACGTGACGTCACTCCACGAGGCGCACTCCCCCGTGTGACGTCACTCCACATGAGACCCACCCCCCCCCCTCATTAAAATTCATGAGTGGGTGAACTTTTACACTAACGCATAGGAAGGTTGAGCTGAATTAAATAATTTATTACGGAAAATCGCTTGAAATGACGTTTCTTTACAGAAAGTGACTGTAAAAAATAGATATACGCAGCACACTGCTACATCTGTACATGACGTCTGTTGTATATGTAGGTTATGAAAATTTTATGAAAATAATAAAATTTAAATGAAATTTTAATTATGCGCATTAATTATGGTAATTCGAGATATAATCGTATTACTTTCTGTGAATGTGTGATTATGCTAATGCAAGCCGTTATGATAATTAGGCCCCGCCACGCTGACGAGTGTCGTATCCAATCGGGATGAGACAATTAATCGTATGCAGTTATGCAGGTATTGTGAGCATGTTAGATTAAACTCGGCTTCGTTGCTTAACTTCGTATTATGGATCGGTATAATACAATTATTCTCGCTTTAACTTTTACTGAGTGTATGTGTATTTATGTCAGGTCTCCAGATTCAGATCTCAACGCAGGATACAGCTCTTATGCATGAAATTTCGGAAAGAAACACACCACCACTTCTGTGTTAATCAATTTTATTTTCTAACTAAACTTTAACTCTAAAAGATGCAACTCTCAATCTTGGAATTTCAACACAGTATCAACACAGTATCATCACGACTGCGTTGTTTCACTTTGATAACGGCACATGTGATTCCTTCCCCCGCGTAGCGCGAGCTCAGTTGGTGAGAGAGAGAGTCGTTAAAAACATGCATTCGCTATTCTAAACAAAAACCTTAACTTTATAATATGCAAATTCGTTATACTTGAAAATTGCCCACACAGTACCGCATCCATTCATAGACCTTCAAGGCAATTCTTATCACGTTGTTTCACTTTGGATATCAGAGCAATTAATTCGTATGCAGTGTAACACGATCACGGGCGGCCATTATGAACGAAAGGCACTTAAAGATTATGCGACGATATTCATACGAAAAGGCAATCAAAACAGTTATTATTCCCAAGGCACAAATATATCAATAGATCCATCGGCAAGATTATGATTACAGAAATGGCTTGGAGTGAGGGTGTGCGATGGGATGCGCGCTTTCCCCTGGGATCCTTACCTTGGGCCAACTTTTAATTAATTGTGGACCAGATCGCCTGATAAGGAAACCGGTTGGATACGCTATTCCCCCCCTTGAGCGTAGCTCCGTGGCGAAGGTGTCAAGGATTAATTTGCATTGATGGATCTGTTGGTAATTTATGCGATTAGAAGTACAACCCAAAACAAAAGAATTAAGGAGGAAAAATGATTACTGTACTAATAAACGACGGATGGTTATCACTTGGTCTGTCGCGATGCTTTTACGGCCACTGATGGTTCACGTCTTGAGGATTAGGCTTTAGTTAATGACTTGTGTGTGTTTTGAGTGATATGGATTGTGTGGAGTAGGCCAGTGTTCGAAATTCATTATTTGCGTCAAGCAGACGCCTGGTTTGTCGTGTGGTGGGGGGGGGGGCAGTGCATCATACGTATGGTTGATTCTCCTTTCACAGTAGTTTATTCGGACCTCGCTAGTTGACGGAGTGGCACGGTGCTGTAGGTGCGGTGACCCGTCGGTAGATGGCGATCACAGCTCGCTCGTAGCAGCTGTCTCGGTGCTCGTTGTTGGCGCCCTCTCCGTTGGTAGATGGCGCTCACAGCTTGCTGCAGCTGTTGACGATGGTGGTGCTCTCTGGTGGCTGATGCTGGGATTCTCATCAGCTTCTTCTGATGATGTTGAATTCGCATGACCTAGCACGTAGCTAAGTAGCGAGTCTCGCCATTCTGGCGAGTCGTAGAGACTCCTTCTGCGTCGGTAGGGCTGGTCTTCTGATGGTCGCCGTCTTCTTCTGCTGCTGATGAGGAGCTGCTGGTTGCCGAGCTGGTCCGCTGGTCGATGAGCTTGACCTCTGGCTGATGAGCTTGTCCGCTGGCTGATGAGCTGAATTCAATGCTCATGGGCCCCTCTTTTTATGACAAAATCTCTCGCCTTGGCTCCTCCTCCTTACGAGGGCGGAGCTCCCTTTGATCTAGCTGTGTGTCGTGGGGTTGGGGTGTGCGTGTCCGTATGTGTGTGCTTGTGTGTGTGTCATTTATGGCATAGTTCCGTTCGTTGGCTTCCTCGAGCCATAAACCATCAAAAGGAACAGATGCTTCAAAATCGTCCCGAAGGCGTCCCTCTGTCTGCGTTATACAATCTGGAGGGAGGGGCGATTTCCCCCCCCCTGTATGACATTTTCCGACGCACAAAGGATTTTAAGGTTTTTAAAGTTAACATTTATTCCATCATAGTTTTTGGTACCGTACAACTCGCAGTTAGGATTTTGTCTGTGACTCCCGCTATCTGCTTTTTATTTTCACGAGGATATGAGCGTATGCATATTCTTATCACGTGCTGCAGGAAGACAAAGACGGCCGTGAAGCTCTCTCTCTGGCTAGATTTAACATC